CCAACTCAAAAAAAAAAAAAAAAGAGAGAGAAAGCCACCTGCTTAGAGAATCCAACAATCCTTGAGCTCTGACATGTTATCAACAGCATCCCCATCCCAGCCTGGGAAGAAAATGTGTATTATCATTCATAAAATGGCCGTGGCAAGCTGGCATCCACAGCCCACCAAGCCGACTCCAAAGCTCATGCTCTTCACAGCTGACTCTCTGTCTTTGTGGTTATATAAATTGGTTAAAAATTATTTTCAACTATGGAGGAAACATAGCAGTCTTTTGCCATTTGTAAGCTACTTGTTCCACGGGAGTTTCTGCCTTTGGAGCTGCTTGTGTTTGGGGAAAGAAGGAGTTACTTCAGCTTTGTTTTTGTGCCGTGGGATTTCGAAGCATTTGGAGGATGCAAACATGTCCATTTTTCTTCTGCTTTTTGCCAGGACTGCAAACCAGACACGTTTTCCAAAAACCAAAAAAAAAAAGCTACCATGAAAGCACTGAATTCACACTTAGGAATTTATCTCACTCAGGAGGGGTAGAACTAACTGCCCTGCATGGTGGCAAAGTCTAAGGTCACCTAAGGAAGCCACCACAGAGTGCCAAGTCCCTGGCTGCCAAGGCCCCGTGGTCCAATTGCTCATTACTGTTTTCTCCAAACAGATTAGATGTTGGCAAGCAAGAGGAGGCGGGTGAAGCACTGAAGGAGGGAGAGGCGAAACTGAAACCAAAATGCAAATAATAAGTAACTAGGCTTAGACCAGGAACCTAGCATTTCCACTCACCCTCACTCAGCTTTCATCCATACCCTCAGGCAGAGCCTTCCAAGCAGAAAAATCTCCTTCCCTAAAACATTACTTCTAGGCCCAGCATGGTGGCTCACGCCTGTAATCCCAGCATTTTGGGAGGCCAAGGAAGATGATTGCCTAAGCTCACAGGTTCAAAAGCAGCCTGGTCAACTTGGTGAGACCTCATCCCTACAATAAATCAAAAAATTAGCTGAGCATGATAGTGCATGCCTGTAGTTCCAGCTACTTGGAAGGCTGAGGTAGAGGGATCGCCTGAACCCAGCAGGTCAAGGCTGTGGTGGCTGTGAGCGTGCCACTGCACTCCAGCCTGAGCGACAGAGTGACTCCAACTCAAAAAAAAAAAAAAGCCAGAAGATAGTTTGTGCCTTGGTGATTCAGACAGAAGCATGGAAGAACAGGAGGCTACAGACCTGAGCGGTCACTGGCCACCAACATAATGAATAGGAACGGCTTCCATTAATTGAGCACCTATTGTGTGCCAGAACCTGCATACAGATGCTTTACACACATCATCTCTAAATCTGGCCAGGCAGAGCCTGCATCTGTTGACTCCAGTTCCAGGACTCTTGCCATAATACCACAGCTGATTCAACTCTGCACCTACCTTTCCACAGCCGCCCATCCCTAAAACCACTTCACAGACCAAGACACTGAGCCTCAAAGAGTTATCACTTGCCCAAGATCACACTGCAAGCGATGTTCCTCATAGCGTAGGAGAAAGATCTGGAGACATATTTGTCTTTGCTGACTTCACCTTGTTAAGCCTCAGTTTCCTCAACATTAAATGAACAGCATAATAAGCACCTACCTCAAAGATACATGAAACGGCCCCTATGCAATAGCAGACATACCATGTCGCTGGGTGTGAGGAGTCGAGGGGATACTGTGAGGGAAGAAGGTATTAGTTGTCATGGTCATGGCAGATGGAGGTCTGGCCCTGAGGGTTAGATATTGTTCTTATAGAGCCCCGGGAGAGTCCTTAATGGTGCATTTATTGCCTGTTCACAATGTGCCAAGCACTGTGCTAACATGAAGACATGTCTCCAGATCTTTCTCCCACGCTATGAGGAACATCACTTGCTATGTGATCTTGGGCAAATGATAACTCTTTGAGGCTCAGTGTCTTGATGGCAAGATTCCTGGAACTGGGGTCAACAGATGTAGGCTCTGCCTGGCCAGATTTAGAGATGATGTGTGTAAAGCATCTGTATGCAGTGTCTGGCACACAGTAGGTGCTCAATTAATGGAAGCTGTTCCTATTCATTATGTCGGTGGCCAGTGACCGCTCAGGTCTGTAGCCTCCTGTTCTTCCATGCTTCTGTCTGAATCACCAAGGCACAAACTATCTTCGGACTTCTTTTTTTTTTTTTTTTTTGAGTTGGAGTCTCACTCTGTCGCCCAGGCTGGAGTGCAGTGGCACGCTCACGGCCAATGCAGCCCCGACCTGCTGGGTTCAGGCAATCCTTCCACCTCAGCCTTCCAAGTAGCTGGAATGACAGGCGTGCTCCACCGTGCTCAGCTAATTTTCAGTGTGCCAACACTGTGCTAACCGTTGAACAGCATTTTTCATTTGCTCCTCCCTCCAGCTCCACAAGCCAGGTACAATTATCGTCATTCCCATTTTACAGTTGAGAAGACTGAGGCACAGCAAGGAAGGTTAGTCAGTAAGTGGTAGACCCAGCTCCATCCTAACTCCTCAGCTACCCTGCCTCTCTCATGCTGGCTTTGCCTCTTTTCCAGTTTGGCACTAAGTGGGCCGTGTACATGACCAAGCCGGATGGGACGTACGATGTCAAGACAGTCCAGGAGCTGCTTCCTGCCTCCTTTGGACCTGACGACCTGCAGAAGACCTAGTGATGGCCAGAAAACACCCACTGCCAGAGGGAGCCTAGGCAGCACCTAGAGAATGTCGTGAAGACGTTCTCACAGACCTGGGGACACCTGCGCAGTGGGTCCCAACCCTGTGGGGGCTGGGCAGGAATGATGCTCCCAAATCACACTCCAGCCTGTGCTGGCACCCCTCCTTCCAGCACCCCTCCTTATAACCCACCTTGTCCTGCCTGGGCTCAGAACACCCCACCCTTCTTTTCCTTCCTGCGGGCCCTCTTTAAAATTTCAGCCTAGTCTGGACTGCTTTTCTGCCAGCCTTCCCAGGGTTCCATCCTGTTCTGAACAGTTTTTCTAATTATAAACATCACAGAACATCCTGACTCAGAAGAGTGTGTCCTGTCTTTGTCTCCATCGTTGCTTGCAGCTCTTGGGAGGGACAGCTTGATCTGTCTTTATAGGAAGGCCTGGACTCTTTCCCCTGGGAGAGCAAATGGACACCTTTTTTTTTTAAGTCAGGGTCTTACTCTGTCGCCCAGGCTGGAGTGCAGTGGCACAGTCAGGCTCACTGCAGCCTCAAAATTCCAGGCTCAGGCAATCCTCCTGCCTCAGCCTCCTGAGTAACTGGGACTATAGGTACACGCCACTATGCCTGGCTAAGTTTTTTCTTTTTTGTAGAGACGAGGTCTCACTGTGTTGCCTAGGCTGCTCTCAAACTCCCTCCTCAGTCTCCCAAAGTGCCAGGGTTACAGGCATGAGCCACCGTGCCCCCTCCAGGACTGTATTCCTCTGAAATGGAGAGCTGAGACTTTACGGTTCTTGTCCCTGCATTCTCCAGATGGATGGCCACCCTGGGCTGGGCCTAACTGCCAATTACCATTTCTAGACTCTGTTTTGGGTTCATTATAGACCTGAGCACTGGATGGTGTCCATTTTAGGGAGTGGCTGGGAGATTCTAAAGTTATGAAGGAGGAAGCCCAGGTTTGGTCAGTGCAATAAAGAGTTCTCTCAAGACCTGCTGTGTGTCAAGTACTTCCACAGGTTTTCCTTTTTGTTTAAAGTGCTCAACAGTTCTGTGAGGTGGGTATCGCCTCCTTTTACAGCTGAGGGCACTGGGCTTCAGAGTAGTAGAGAGACTTGCTCTAGGACAATGGCCAAGCTCAGAACAGAATTCAGGCCCCTTAAGCCAGACTACAGGCTCTTTGCCATGTACTATGCTAAGGTGTTTAACATGCACGAACCCACTCCCTTCTCATTTATCAGATTCAAAGGTAAATAATTCTTTATTTCAGTAGCTTCAGGCACTATACAGTTTTGGTCTGGGCTTTAAATATAACCAGCATCCCCATCTGTGTACATTGTATCTGATAGCAATTTTTCATCCCTCTACCCCTTCCCTCCTCTCCTTTCTGAGTACCCAGTGTCCATGATACCATTCTCTCTGTCTTTGCAGGTCCCGAGTTTAGGTCCCACTTAGGATGATGTTCTCCAATTCCATTCAAGTTGCTGCAAAATACATTATTTCATTCTTTTTTGATAGCTAAATAGTATTCCATAGTGCACATATATCACATTTTCTTTTCTTTTTTTTTTTTAGTTGGAGTTTCACTCTGTCCCCCAGACTGGAGTGCAGTGGCACGCTCCCAGCCACCGCAGCCTCAACCTGCTGGACTCTGGCGATCCTTCCACCTCAGGCTTCCAAGTAGCTGGAACTATAGGCATGCGTTACCACGCCTGGCTATTTTTTTGATTTTATTGTAGAGATGAGGTCTCGCCAAGTTGCCCAGGTGGGTCTCAAACCCGTGGGCTCAGGCAATCCACTCACCTCAGCCTTCCAAAGCACTGGGATTACAGGCTGAGTCACCAAGCTCGGCTATATCACATTTTCATTGTCCACTGATCAATTGAGGGGCATTTAGGTTGATTTCATATCTTTGCAATTGTGAATTGTGCTGCAATGAACATGTGGGTGTAGGTATCTTTTTTATATAACCACCTCTTTTCCAAAGGCAAATATTATTGCCCACACTTTACCAATAAGTAAATTGAAGCTCAGAGAGGTTAAGTCACTCACCCAAAGCCACACAGCTAACATATGGCAGAACTGGAATTTGAACCAGGCCGGTCTGATTCCAAACATTGTTTTCCATTCTTGCACAGCTGATATCTTTATTTACTATCTCTTACATGTCAAATATGCTAAATATTGCAGAGAGAAAGAGGTACAAGAAGTGGTCTCTGCCCTTGAGGAACTCCCCATCTGACAGGGAGAGACAGGTGTAAACAGGTCTGCTGCACAGACATGCACTGTGACTCACGCAGAACCAAGTGGAAGGTAGGCATGGTGGGGGACACACTGCTATCTGGGGTGTGAGGAGGGAGAGAGAGGGGACTATTTCTTTTGTTGGTATGGTGGTATCACACACACGCACATACACACGCAAAATTAGGGAGGTCAGGGCTGAACCCGGGAGGGGTAAGGCAGGTCCTTTGGAAGGGATGTGAGAGCTCTGGGTATCCTCCCAGGAGGAGGCCCTGGGGTCAGCTCAGTGGGTGGCATAAGAACAGAGCTTAGGTTTCCTTTTTCCAAGGCAGGCAAGTGGTGGCAAATCATCCCTTCCCTGAAAGTCCTTTCCACCCAGATCCGGAGCACCTGAAGGTGTTGCTGCTGCTAAGATGAGCTTTGCCACAACATGCTCAGACTTCCGTGTCGCCATCTTGGTAGACAGTCAAGGTATCCCCGTGTTGCCGTGTGACGCTCAGCTCCACTCTGCCTTTCTTTAGAAATGACTTTGAAGCAACTCAGCACAGTCTCCTGAATGTTCTCAACAAAGTGGGGTGGATAAATTAAAAAACAAAAGAGAAAAATCGGAAGAAAATATGCCAAGATGTTAACGTCAGTTACAATTCTGCTTGCTAGGAATAGGAATGATTGGTATTTTTCTTTGTACATATCTGTCTTTTAAAAAAATTTTTATAAAACTTTAAAAAAAATTAACAACAACAAATAAACAGAAAGAAGTGAAGATACAGCATAATGGTTAAAGATTTGCACATTGGGACTGAACAGCCTCCAAACTGTGTGGCTTTGGGCAAATTATTTCATTATTCTGAGCCTCAGTTTTCTCCTCTGCAAAATGGGAATGACAGTACCCTAGCCCCTGGGATTAGTGTGAAGATTGAATAAAATAATGCAATATTAAAAGCCCAGTATTTGACCCTTAGTCAATTCTCAATAAATGTTGGCAGCTAACCTTTATTAAGAGTGAAAAATTTTGGTTCTTTGAGGATTTGATTTTTGTAAACAGCTGCCGAGCATAGCTCCCAGCACGTTGGGAGGCAGAGGTGAGAGGACTGCCTGAGTCCAGGGGTTAGAGACCAGCCTGGGCAACATGGTGAGACTGCGCCACTACAATAAACCAAAAAATTAGCCAGGTGTGGTGGCATGCTACTTGGAAGGTAGCCGTGCGAGTGCCACTGTACTCCAGCCTGGGCGATAGAGTGAGACTCCTACTCAAAAAAACATAAACAAACAGGCAACCATCTTCTACAGTCAATTTGTTCATTATTTTAATAATTATTTCTTGGTGCTTACTGTGTAGTATGCCTGGGAGCAGTTCCCAGGGGCATAGCTATAAATAAAACAGAGTCTCTGCCCTCAAGAGGTTCTCAGTCTATCAGTGGGTAATGAGATATAAGTGATTATAGTATTTCATGACGTGTTACCCAATGGGAAGAAAAATCCCTGGGAGCAAGCAACCCAAAGAGCAGAACTTGCCCTGAGGAGAGGATGTTTCAGCCAGAGCAGAGGAAAGTCATCCTAGCCGAGCACAGGGCTTGGGGAGGGTAAAAACAGACTGACCCAAGGACTGAGCTCAGCATTTTAATCCTTCGTGGAAACAGACTGCAGAAGGTAATTCTCAAAGGATTCCAGAAATACTTGAACAGTGTCCGTTTTGAAGAGTGATGCTTATTAGGATATAAAAAGGCTGGGATGTTTGTTTAAAATGAGAGCATTTTCATCTTCCTGTAGTCCCACCATGCAGAATGCAGTCCTGTGTAGCTGTGTTTTCAGAATAGTGTATGGTCTATTGTTCAGCACTGTCTGTGTTTTTAGGGCCCTAAATCACAGTCCCAGATTCCCATGGAAATAAATAGAAACATGGATATTTCTGCTGCTCTCACCAGCTGCTGCTCATTGCATATGTTAAACCATACAATTCTTTAGGATTTCCTTCTGGCAGGGAGGAGGACACAACTAAAACTGACAGATACTAGCCAGAAAACACTATTCAGGAAAAAAATATGGAATGGCCTAATATGTGTAATCTCTGATATATAATGATTTGAACACAGAAACAGATATGGAAGTAACACCCAATCTGTTAACATAGTTTTAGATGGGTATGGGAAGGAGGAGTAAAGAGGGGGAAAAAATCTCAAACTCTGTGACAGAATAGAAAAAAGTATGGCATAATAGTGATGTTAGTTTTCTATTGCTGTGTAACTAAAATAAGGTGTCAGACAGGGTTGCAGTCTCATCTGAAGACTCAACTGGGGATAGATCCACTTGAAATCTCACTAGTTATTGGCAGGATACAGTTTCCTATGAATTGTCACTGTTACTATTCAGTTTCTTGCTACATGGGCCTCTCTATAGGGCAGTTTACAACATGACAGCTTAGAACAAGCAAGCAAGAGAGGGTGAGCAAGACAGAAACCATAGTCTTTTTTTTTAGTTGGAGTCTCACTCCGTCGCCCAGACTGGAGTCTAGTGGCCGCACTACACGCCCGGCTGATTTTTTCATTTATTGTAGAGATGAGGTCTCACCAAAATGCCCAGGTGGGTCTCAAACCCACAGGCTCAGGCAATCCACTCACCTCGGCCTCCCAAAGCACTGGAATTATAGACTGAGCTACCGAACCCAACCCAGAAACCATAGTCTTTCTGTAACTTAACCATGAAAGTGACATTTTATCACTTTTGACAAATTCTATTTCTTTTTTTTTTTTTTCCTTTTTGGGTTGGGATCTTACTCTGCCACTGGAAGGAATGTGGTGGCAGGATCATGGCTCACTGCATAACCTCAAGTTCCTGGGCTTCAGCATTCCTCCTACCTCAGCCTCCCCAGTGGCTGGGACTATAGTCACACACACACACACACACACACACACATCTGGTTAATTTATTTCATTTTTAATTTTTTTTTTTTTTGAGCCAGGTCTCACTCTGTCACCCAGGCTGGAGTGCTGTGGCATTGCTATGGTCTGTAGAAAACACAGCTGCTCTCTCACTCTGCCAGTAAGAGTTAAGAGGCAGGGAACTGGGGAGAAAGAAGTTTGTTTCTGAATTCGGAATTCAGGAAGGCAGGCCGGTATAGATACTCAGG